GAGTATTGACAAAGGTAACCACTTCGGCAAAAATGACGAAAGTTCAATTCCTAGAAAAAAGATCCTCATATAACATTTACGTGCACTGTACACCCAAGGACCCTACAATGTGCTTTTGATTATCAAAATTTGTCTTTCATTACTATTGGTTCCTTTTATTTCAACAGGCTCATGAGGACCATCCGAACTTGAAGACTAACAAGAAACTTAGCTTCAAGCATGAGAATCAAATTTCTGCAATAATACACGGTTATGATAAGGTTATATTTTAGACGTTAACTCGAACGTAAAACTCGGAAAGAGTTAGTTGTAATAATCATGAGCTTTTCATCGATGGAACTTTGGTTTAAAAAGCAATAAACAAGAAATTTGGTTCATTAACTCTTGTGCTCACTGGTGCTCACTGGGGGTGGGAAAGCTTTTCTTTCCTTTTCAAAATGTAAAAATATATATTGTGTGAGCCCTTGGCCCGTGGAATACTGGATATTGGATATCCACGGTCTTGTTAGGTGCAAATTCTATTAGGCAACCCCCAACCTGTGAAAATTTATTCGGTGTCCGCTCATTCACTATCCGCCGGGAGCAAGGAAATTTTCCTTTTACTATTCCAAATGTTTTCTTCAAGATGCCAGCCAATTAAGCTAACCTAAGGATTATTCGACACAAAAACAAAATGTCTTGATCCTTCCCGATCGCGATAAACCGAGACTTCTTTCTTCCATGGTGTTGAAGTCATTTGCCTACTCAGTCCTGCAAGATATCAGCAATTGGCTGCAGTACTAAAGTTAATTCAACGAGCAGTAAGCGCCCTGCCTGACATATATCGACACAGTCTATACGTAAAAAAACAATTCTTAGTCTTCTTTGCTTTGCAAATTATGATATCTTCGTGTTACTTTTAGTATCTGTATTACAAATCTCTCAGTTTTTCCATAGCCTGAATACGTAAGGAATGGGAATTCTAACAAAATTGTTTCAGTCCGGAAATTATATAATGCAAACCTATGTAAACAAGAGAATTTGATAAGAGGGGGAAATTTTTAGTCTCATGGAACGGATTACTTGACGGGTTACTTGTCAGGTTACTTAACGGAGGTTAATTTTATAAATAATTCACTAAAAACAATATAATATTTTCAATTAGGATCAAAGTCGATTAACTCAGGCCTAATCACGAGATCCATAAATAGACTTGCAATATCTCTTATCTATCTATAATGATAAACCAATGTCTAAAACGCAAGCGCCTTAACTAAGAAGTACTAGATGATGTCGCCAATATCGACAGTTGGAGTATTCAACATTTAGCCTCCAGTTAATTAAAATACCGTCAGGTCTTACTACGGTCTCAATATTTTTCCAATATATAAGTATCAGTTTTATTAATCTCCTGCCGTAGAGAGGAATATCATGATTGAAGTTGTCCCCCAGATTGGCTCTCTTGCCTATTTTTTTTCACTTGTTGAAGAAATTGTTTTGTAAGCAAAA